TATTGTTCCCTGTTGATGTTCTCACTGCCCCGTCATTACTGTAAAATGTTTCATATGTGCCTTTTCAAATGTGAGATCTTTATTCTAACCTTTTTTTTTTGTAAGAGATATCTATTGATTTCCATATGCAATAAACCTTTGGTTTTTTCAGAGAAAAAAATAAGTCGTCTAACTCTTCCAACTTTCTCAACAGACTAGATATTCATTGACTAGATCCCGAAAAGATCCTTTACTCTTAAAATCATATTCATAGCCAAATGTATATAGGAAAAATGCCTTTCTGCTGCTTAAAAACGCACTTCTTTTAATCTGACTGGAGTGAAGATTTAGTTTGAAATTTTACCTGAAAGGATCCATCACGAGTTGGATGGAGGGAAAAGGGTATGGAAATAGGCCTTTTTCACAAATGTAGTGTCAGGCCCTGATAATTAAAGAAACCCTCCTGCATTCCACTCATTCATTCATTCAGACACCAGGTTGCTAATGTGGAGAAGGTAGGCCCCCAGGCTGCTACAAGAAACCCAAATCCTTTTTTGTCTTTGACCTAACAGCTCAACAGGTTGAAAGCCGCTGCCCTATCTCAGACTGGGCTAAGGGTGGGCTCTTGCTTTATATAGGGCAATGCGACTTCAGCCAGTGCAACCCCCATTGCTATGCAAGGGCTCATGCACCTGCTACAGGTTCTTCCTGCTCCTTTTACATCATGAGAATGCTGCAGCCAGGACCTGGGCACTGTCCCCAAGTTCTGCTCAAGGCCAAGTGCTCTAGTACCTGAGCCACAGCTTCACTTTTGGCTTTTTGTGTTTTACTGGAGATAAGAGTCTCATGGAACTTTCCTGCCTAGGCTGGCTTTGAAGGGTGATCTTCAGATCTCCTCCTCCTGAGTGGCTAAGATTACTGACATGAGCCATCAGGACCTGCCCGCAATGGTAGTCCTTGAAATAAAAGCTACATAATGTTTAAAAAAGATGACAGCAGGCAAAATATACCAATGGAAATGGAAAGCAGTGAGGTAGAATGAAAAAGTTTCTTTCTTGGGCAGTATAAATAGATCAATCTTACTTTCATTGACTAAAAACTTAGAGTTCTTATAAAATTGAGATAAAAGTGGTCACAGACTGTCTCCAAGTAGACTATTAGAGCTAAGAAAGAAAATTTTAAAATAAGAACCTTCCAAAACTAAAGATGTATGTAAGCAATAGCAACAAGAAACACGTATGTGCCAACCTTCAATAAAACGACAAAAGGATGCAGCCTTAACTAAAGTGATTTTCATTTTGTTTTATAAAGGGTGGGATGGAACCCTACCAGACTTATTTAGCAGTCTAGAAGTACACTGAACCAAAAGAGCCACAAAAACCAAAATAACAATAACAAAAGAAAGAACATACCTCATTTGTAATAGCTACTGAAAATATAAAGCCCAAGAACTGAGGATGATTGTGTTGGCCTTAGGTGAACAGTGAAGTCCCTTCAGTGCTGACCAAGGGCCACGGTCTAGAGCAAGAGTATGTGTTGTACTGGAATTCAGCCACAAGAAAGAGAAGCCACCTTTTGAGAGGTTGAATTGGGAGTCTGTATTGGAGAGCCGGTGGCCCCAGGTGGACTCTTGTCACAAACACCTGCATATACTTAACACTGTCAGAAAACAGCCATGAGATCAGGAGGGGAAAGAAAGAGCAAAAGATAACAACAAACCAGATCAACTCCAGTGGAGAACTGAACTAGGACACCGGGGTGACCGGAGGAGAGCCACGACACACAAGACAAAGGGCACCAGGCATGGCATAATGGCGCCAGAGCTTGTCTGGGCCTATTAGGGTCAGAATCGGGGCAGAGTCACAGAAAACTCAAGAGTTTCGAGAGTTCAAGACACAGAACTGTCAGGTTCAGTAACCTATCATCCAAGTTCCCACTCCTGCCTCTAGGAATTCAGGCATGCCCAACACCTGGGGGTGGAATTTCCCTACCTTTACCATGAAGACAAGATGGCACGTTAAACTCAATACCCTATCATCCACCACATGGCCACGATGGCACCTGTTAGACCCAATCTCCTTATTTCACTATCTCCAATTTACCACCAGAAAACCAGAAGTGGCACTGTAGCTAAAAGTGGTAGAGTGCTATTCTTGAGCAAAAAAGCTCAGGGACAGTGCCCAGGTCCTGAGTTCAAGCCCCACAACAACAACAAAAAAAGTTGAGCAAGAGGGATTTGTCAAAAAAAATCAGAACACAGAAGATTGAGCCCTAAGCAGATACTAAATGATTTGCTGTACAATCATAATCAAGAGCATTTTCACCACACCAGAATATATACTGGATGGAATGAAGAAGGACAAAAACCAGCCAAGTCTTAGGGGAATGCCAATGTTGCCATTCTGAGTCAGCAGGAAAAAAGGAGTCATTCAATAAGTGATGTGAACCCAAGGAAGAAGTGATTACAAGTTGTTCCAAAAAGAACAATGTGATAACCTTATTTAACAATTGTAGATAGATCAACGTCTTATTTTAAAAGTTTGGTTCATTGGTGAAAACCGGCCTACCTATGCACGTGTTGTGAAAAGGAAAACAAGGGTAGAAATCATTTTCAATAAAGACCTCACACGTACCCCTCCCTCTACACTGAGCTAATAAATTCTGGAAAACAGGAACAGGCAATGGCCATTGTGGTATCCTGGAAAGATACTTGGTCTTTGGTCCCCTGGGACACAGCTTTTAAAACCCTTGGAACCTCCTGAGTCATAGAAGTGGTAGAGGAGCTCCTTTTGTTCTAAGCAAGCACACCACCACTGAGCTCCACCAGCTGCTCTACGTCTTTTGTTCTAATGAAGCCACTCTCGGCAAGACCCCTAGAGAGCTGTAGGATGGGAGCTCTTGGCTAAAAGGCCAAGCCTGTATTAGAAGCTTAGAACTTTCATCCCCCCACCCCAACTTCTGGAGCTGGAGATGGATTTAATTGCCAATTGCCAGTGATGAATCCGTCGTTATGTAAGTAACCTCTGGAATTCCCAAGCAATGGGGTTAGAACAACAGGTGTGGTGGGAAGGTGACACATGCAACTCTATGTGGCCCAGAGCGCTTGTGCTCAGGACTCTTGCATGCCTCTCCTCTTCCTCGAAACTGCTAGTATTAAATCGAGTTACTTCCTGGAGTTTTGAGAACCACTAAATGATGAATCACAGGGGAAGATGGACAATGGAAACACTGGTCAGACAGAAACAGGGTTCTGTTATGGTGACTGGCTGAAGCAGCGAGGGAGGTCTTGTGGGACAGAGCCCTCAAACCCACTGCTGGACACCAACTCTGGGTAGTGTGAGGAGTGGGTTGAACACAGGACACAACATGGTATCCAAGGAGTGGGAGTAGTGGCCAATGAGACCCCCACCCCCTCACCCCAGTAACACCTCAGCTGTGAATTCATGGAAACAGTCATTTCTAAATATAAGTAAATGCACTCAACCTTGCTAACAAATGCACAAGAAACATTATTTTACATATATGGATTGATGGGAAAGAGATCTAATGATACAGTGCTATGAAGAAAATAAAGGAAATAAGACTATTTTAAAAATGGTTAAAATTCAGTTTGGTTCTGAAATTTTTTTTTTAAGGCATCTTACCTCCCCCTCTACCCCCTACACCACCACATACCAGCATTATGTTTAAAAGTACACTGTGGTATTGTAATAACACCGACCTGGGTAGAAACATGTCCATAAAGAGACATGTGAGCAAACTATGACCTCTGTATATAATGCCCCTAAAAGGGAATAAGGAAAATATCTGAATGTGAACATGTCCACATTGCTACATTACAGTAGACCACCTCCATGGGTATGGTGCTTTTGTAGAACAGGTATGGAAAAAACTAGAATCTTGCCTGACAAAACTGTTCACAGTGGCTTCACCACCAAAGTGCTGGTGAGAACGGCTGACTTTCATTTAGGTGTGCATTCTTAGGTTACACTGAAGGAGTTACTGCTTTCATCAGTTTTGTAAAACCTCTAGAGATAAGTAAGTAGCGTTAAGGTCATCTGAGGCTTGGCCACAGAACCGTCAATCTGCATTCTTAAAACACGCTTCCCCGACTGAGGATTGAGGCTTTCCTGTGCACTGGAGAAGTATACAGTGTTTTGCATACAGTAAGTGCTCAATAAATGGCTAATTAAGACTGTATTAGACCAGAGAATGCATTCTGCCACCTAAATTTTACCATGTGTAGGAGGCAGGGAGGGGTGACCAGGGAGGAAATTGCACCAGATTATGGCGATCGAAGTATAAACTTCACCAGGCTTTACTTACTATCCAAGGGGGTATGAGACACTTCACTAAAAAACACCCCTGAACTCAGCAGTGCTGAGTCCTCCGCCCAGCAAGTGGTTGCCAACGCATTTCCCCAGGTTCTGCTATCGGCTCTGGGCTGCAGAGAGCTGGATTTCTACTGGCCCTGAGGAAAGAGATCAGTGTTTGCTCACAACACTGGGTTGGTAAGGAAATTTTTTTTTCCCTCCTCAAGCTTACTCTGGAGTCTTTCCAAAAAAGGAGAGCACGGCTCGGAACAATCGATGGAATGAGAGATGGAAAGTCGGCTTTCCAGCAGATGGGGGCGATGAACTGAAAGCCAGGATAAGACTGCAGATGGACACATCGACACTTCCTCCTGCCAGGTTGTTTGGCTGTTCTCCACCGCTGACCTTTCTTTCCTTCTGGTACTTTCCCTCTTCTCGCTTTCTTCCTCCACTCTCCCTTGAGAGCCAGGGGGCTCACTGAATGATGCAGGCCAGGCATAACTTCCACTCAAAGCTGGCTGCCACCAACACATACAGATCCTCCCCACAAAGCCAGGTGTGGTGGTACATATTTGTAATCCCAGCCCCTGAGAAGACCAAAGTTGGAAGGAGGCCAGCCTGGCTATCTAGTGAGATGGTCTCAAAAATTAAAAAAGAAAAAAATCCTCACCACAGACAGAAGAAAACGCAATCGTCAAGTACATATTATATCTCTTTTATTCTCTCATCATTCAACTTTGTTCAGTTTTGTCATGACAATAGGCAAGAAGGGAAAAATAATTGCATTTTAAAACCTGATCTGCCCAAATCATATAAGACATAAGAACCATGCCATTACCTCTTATAAAAATAACATAGAAGCATTCAAAATAATTTAATGTTAAGGTTGAAGATTAAGATCAACCTCAAAGTGTGCAAGGCTGAGGTGCAGAAGTATTTCATTGCGGGGAGTCTGTAGAAATGCTGGAGGACGTACAGGAGGGGAAGTCCTCCAGTCCTCTCGGTTTCAGGGTGAAAGCCAGCACATTGCAGTTTCAGTGGCTTTCGATTTCCTGTTTGATCTCGGAAATGTATGGATGATCTTTGCCGTGAGCTACTTCCATGATTGCAAGAGCCTAGGGAGGAGAGACAAATGGCAATGAACCTTCAAGTCCGCCCCTCCCTCTCCATCTTGACCCCATGGAATCACAACTAGACCTCACAGCTTTGCGGCACAGAACACACTCAGACTTTTAGAGCCTTGTTCACCTTCAGTCTGGCTTTTGACAAACAAGGAGACAAACTATCTATAACCAGCTACCATCCAGTCTCCACTGCTGAGGACAGTTTCCTACAAACCTATCCAAGTACTAGACACAATGTAGAGAAAATAACTTTGTAGCATTCTTTTCCCTACTATTCTAGATGTTTCTAGACCAGCCCACGCTTTCTAGCTGTGATCTAACTGGCTACATCTCTCTCTCCATCTCACTAAGACAATGAGCATGTTATTGTAGGTGACAAACCCAATGGCTTAAACAGGAACTTCTATATTTAACTCCCATTTCTGTCCTGGCTAAGTCCTGCCCCTTCAATTTGGGATCTATAGAGCCTTATCCTGTTTTCCTGAATAACTCAATATGACACTTTGGGGAATGTGGAGGATTAGGCTTCAGGCCATCTTTAAGCTCTAAAATCTGTAAACAGTCTCTTGCAGGAGCAAATCAATAGACTGACTTCTAGGTAAAGAACAAGAATCAGTACTGGAGGATACTTCTAAGCTACTGTATGATGCCAGGGTCTGGGCCCGACCTCCTGACCCACGGAGCAGCTGTCCAATACCAAGGGTGAGTGCTGCCTGGGTTCTGGTCTGCCCTGGCCAGGTGTTCGGAGTCCCAGCATAAACAGGGGAGGGGGTGGAGGCTTGCAATCCAGAAAGATCTCTGTTCCAAGGCAGGACCACCATATATACCCTAGACCCCTTCCTTGACCCACTCGGGCCTTACTTTCTTCACCAAGGAAATCTATCTCAGTATTGTGCTAACTGTGCGGACCTATAGAGGCCCTTGATAAATGGTGATGATTATTAAATCCACTATAGAAACTGCCAACACGCCATCCTAACACTGAGCCACAGTCCATATACCCAACTGTCTGAGTCCACGGTGGTTGGGTATTGTAATTCTAAATCCTCAGGTATGAATGGAGAACTCCCCATCATGGTCTCCTGGCCCAGCCAGCTGTCTCATTCCCATGGCAATAACAGGGGAGGAGAGAGGAGAGGAGCCAGCACTGGAGGGTCATCACCCTCCCCCCTGGCCAAGGGACGGGCCAGCCCAGACCCAGGCTCACTGCCTTTTCCCACCCCTCCTCGTGGAATGCACTCCTGTATGCCACGGCCAGATGGTCACCCTCTGCTCCTCAGGCCCAGGCCTCCCTGGGCATGAGGTTGCTTGCTAAGGGCTCTGGAAGCCCTTGCCTCCCAGCCTGGAATCCCAGCCGTACCTTCTTCAAGGCTTTCTCTCCGGCAGCTTTCTTCTCCAGGCCCATGTACAGCCGGCCCAGCTTCAGCCACATGGAGGCCACGTTGAGGGAGTACACAGGATAGTGCTTACTAGAAGAAGGAAAGAGGGCAGGCGGCCTTGTCAGCAGCAAACCCCCCCCCCCTGCTCTGCAGGTGAGGGCGCATGACCGCGCTCTTCAAAGCAACCAGGCGTCTGCAAACACTGCCAGGTCCTGGGCAGAGCGAGGCTGGGTCAGGATGGCTTACCAGCAGACATCCCGCCCACGGTCTGTAGTTTGTGTTTGTAGTTTCTATCATGGGGGGGGGGGGGGAGGAGGAGGAGACATCAAAACTGCCAGAGAAATTCTATTTTATAAAAACCATAGCAATGTTTTATGTATAGTCCCAGTCCAGATTTTTCTATTTCAGGTACACTCAAAAGAAGGCATTAGGAAAACGCCCCTTCTATGAGGGCAGTAGTGAAGCCTCTCTCCTTCCATCAGAAAAATGGAAACACAGAGAGCTTTCTATTATACATACCTATGATACAAATGGGATTTAGCAAAATTGTAAGCTCTCTGAAGGCTGTACCTTCTAGAATGTTCTCTATTGTCTGCCAAAGGGCTGTGTATATATTGTAGGATTTCTTTCTCCGCCATGATTGATGGAGTCTGCTTAGCAAAGAGCCATTTCTCTTGGAATGGGATCCAGCTTATGAGAATGTGCATGTGTGTGTGTGGAGAGAGATGTCTGTTACAGCTAGTCTGATCTACTGTGCCTATCCTGAAAGTCTAGCTGAATTCCTGGAGAGAGGAAGCCCTGGGGCCAGCGGCCTCCAGAAGGCCAGATCTGGCTCACTAAGGAAGGGTTTCGCCCAGTCAGTCCCTGCTGGAAGAAGAACGGCTGGGTGAGACACTGTCTGTGTCTTCCTCCCTATCTCACAGAGGGACGTATGCATGAGTCTGCGAGTACTTCCCAACCCCTTCCTGGACCTCTGAGGGAAGCCTGAGATTGTCTCCAATTTAACAAAATGTTTCCCAGAGCTGGCTTCCCCTTGGGCTCCCCCTGCTGGCTATTCAGGACACAGTGGGGGTAAAAGGAAGGCAGAGATGAACACAGAAACTCAAACTTGACACGAACCGTACAGTAAGTGAGCTTCTCAAACCCATCAGAAAAGGCACAGGATGTTGATGTTATAGAGGGACTTCTAGGCCCAATTCCCCAAGATCTTATTTCATTTGGCGGGGCGGATGCTATGCAGGTATAATGTCCAGGCCTTTAGGAGAGCTCCAGGGATCAGAACTATAGTCCCCACCCCAGGCCGGGGGCAAAGGAGGACAGCAGCCATTCCTCTTCATGGCCTACATTAAGGCCTAAAAACCCTTTCCCTTTGGCCACGATTACTACAAACTAAAATCCATCTTGGTTTACTCAAACCCCAGAAGAGAGGATTTGAATAACCACACCGGCCCACAGGTTCTGGAGTTTTCCCCCAATGCAATCTGGGGAGCAGAAGAGAAGGATGGTGTGAGCAGTGATGGAAATGCAGGGTTCTGTGCCCACCACTTACTGATTCTTACGTGCCATTTAACCCAAAAGCAGTGGATGGGAAAGGAAGCAAACCCTTTTAATACTGGCAGCAATTCAGGGGCGTGGATACAGGCCCTGGGTGGGCTTGCCTCAGAAATGCTCTGCAGAACTCAATCTCCATCCTGGGCTGTCCCCCTTGGGGTGGCGGAAGGAACTGGCCTGGGTCAATAGAGTGGCCTCTGCTCTTACACCTCCACACCAAGTGCCCAGGGGCAGCAGCTGTTCCTGGCAAGTTCCAACATGGGACAGTAGGACTACGTAGCCAATCCCCACCCCCCACCCCCTGTCCCACCCCACACCAGGAGGCCCAGAACAGCCACAGCAGTCACCTGTAGGGCTTAATGATCTTCTGTCCATATCTCAGGGCCCCTTCCCAGTCCTGCATGTATAAGCAGACACCCATGGCCTGGTACATCATGTGTAGCATGTACACGTTGCTGTCCTCAAACACAGAGCTCATCTTCTCCTGGCTGAGCTCGCAGATCTCCAGCAGCTCGCTAGGGGGTGCTGTGGTGTCAAGGAAGTGAGTAGCAGGTCCCAAGAGGGGCGCAAGGAGCACCATCACCAGCTCCACGTTATAGAAGAGGAAAGGGAACTGCCATTTCCTTACAGACACAAACTAGCCCTCACCTGCTCTACCTGCTCGTCCTGATATGAAACTGTTAACTAGAACCACAAGTTCTCAGTCTTTTAATAAAACTGAAATGTTCACCCATGCAGGCTGACCGGCTTAGATGCTGGGCTGGGCTGGGCTGGGAAGGAAGCCGGGCCTACCACAGCAAAATTCACAGTTCTCCCTTTCTTTCCTTCTTCCCCTTCCTTCTCTCTTTCCTCCCTTTCTCTTCCTTGAAATTCTCTTAGGCTGTCAAATAAACATGATGTGTCATTATCATTTCCATTCACTGGTTATACGTTCTTTCTACTGAGGGACAAATCCAATCCCTTTCCAAAAGCAATGTGGTGGTTAGAATAAACATGCTTGTCACCAGCAGCTCTGGATAAAAAATCCCAGCTACTGCCTTCATCGGCGGTGTCCCATGAGCAAGACACCCCCGGGTGCACTCCCTCGTGTGCTAGACGGCACCAGCCCCTACTCAGGACCACCCAGGGTACTTGAGGTACTTGTACTTAACAAGCAGTAATCACAAGCAATGCCTGGCCCGAAGTAAAAATGCTCAATAAACAAGGGCTTCCTAGGGATCCTTCTTCAGCCTTCTGCCACAGAAGCACCCAGCCCAAGCAGACAACCAAGGAGAAATAAGAACGAAAGACACCAACCACACGGTGAGTGCTCCTCTTCACACATTTCCCAGGAGAGCCCTTTTCCTTCACTGTACCGACGCTTCACCCCATCTATCTCCTGCTCCCTCTTCCCAACTTCCTGCCACCTCGGCAGGTAGGAAAAAAAATCTCTGGACTGTGGAGGCGGAAAGGATATACTTGTAGTGCTTGGCCCTCCGGAATTCCTCGATGACGTTGCGTGCGTATCTGACCATGTCTCGGATGGTTTCTGCCTTTGGGGGATCACTGAGTTTCCGCACTTCCACCTTGGCCTTGTCCTGAAGGAAAGGGGCGCAGGTGAGAGGTGCCACTGCAGCAAACCTCGGCAGAGATAGGGGCTGCCCACGCCTAAGGCCAGGTGACGAGGCCGGAACGGGAGTGATGCTAGCGGAGACTCTCCCCCTGAACAGTTCTCTTCCGTCCTTCTCTCCCTTCCCTTTCTTCTCCCTCCCCTTTCTCCTCCTTCCCTCCTTTTCTTTTACTTGGGATTGAGTCCAGAGCCTTGAACTTGCTAGGCAAGTACATGAGGACTAATCAAGCTTCAGCCGCAGAAGTTTTATTTTTGCGACAAGCTCTTGCTAACTTTGCCCCGGTCGGTCTCAAACTTGGGATCTCACATCTTCACCTCCCAAGTAGCTGAGATTACAGACGTGAATCATCATGCCCAGCTTGGGCAGTCTTTTTTTTTTTTTTATAGAAACAGGAAGTTGGCAGAATCTTCTCTTATTTGTATAGTGTTTGGGGAATACATCCCCCAGCTATCAAGAAGCAGATCTGAGCAAAGACTGGTCTAACAGGATTCTCTTTGGCTGTCTTGGTATGGAGGATTGGAAGGGTCAAAATTCCCCTTCTGTAGGAGAATACATACTCTGTGAGCCAGGAGAGCTCACCTGCAGCAGCATGCTGGAGCCAAGTACAGCCCACACCGGTGGCCCCTCAGGGAACTGACCTTGTCTTTGGTGGTGCACTCCTGGCACTCGCACGTAAAGAAGTAGGAGTCTCGTAACCGGTCATTCCTGTCTTCTGTTGGGTACAGGAGGTCGATATAGCTGGTAAACACCTAGGGGTCCAAGAAGGCAAAGCTTCAGTCTGTTACAGAAACAACTGAGGCCATCACGTGGCCAGGGAATATACAATGTCTTATTGGTTCTACCATTGTTAGTTTTTGTCTGGAGCACATGGGGAGGCCAGCACCCAGATATCCATCATCTCCCCACAGGGACAGCGTTGGCTGCTCAGCTCGCAGAAGCAGACACGTGTCTGCCTGAACAGACAGATTTCACAAAGCCATCTAGCATGCCAGTGACCTCTCGCCTCATCAGGCAGGAACCAAAGCCCGGTCAAGGTCTCCCCAACCCACAGGGCAGGACGAGATATGGCACAGCTCATTCTGACCCCCCCCCCGAGGGATGGTTCCTTCCTCTTTGAAGGGCAAGTCACCTCCAAAGTACTGACTTCCCCAAACCAAGGTCACCACATTGGAGGCCTGTGAGAACTTGCAGAAACAGCAGCTGACCCTGTCTTGCATGTGGCAAGACGGGGATTTCTCTGAAATTACTGATGGACACAATGCAACAAGCAGGCAGTTCCAGAAGATGGCGACAAAGGCCACTTCAGGCTCATGTTCGTAGCTCAAACTAAACCTGTCCAGGAGTCAGGGGCCTGATGCATCCATTCTGCCTAATTGTTTTCCTAAGCAGGCATCCTGGTACTGCAAGACCTAGACAGCCTGGTTTCAAATAGGACACCTTCATCATGAAGCATTTACAAAAAGAAAAGTGGTTTTGCTTTAGCTGTGGACTATTTAATACCTTCCAGCATTCATCCTTTAGCATACGCTCAATTACTTTTAAAATTCAAAGTATCTAAATATGTTCCTTAAAACAGCATTGCAAGTAACATGAAATTGAACCTAAAGTATGAGACTACTGTCCCTACCTTTATGGACTGGTTAGGGATCTGCTTGAGAACACAGTGTCCCTACAACAATTCACCAGGCAGGCTTCGCACCAAGAGAAGTCTTATAAAAAGGTCATACACCATGCACAGGACAGGAAAGAGGAGAGGGAAGCAGGCAATGGAAGCCTGGCTATCTCTACACGCCTCCGTTAAGGAAAGAGGCTGGTGGGGTGCCTTTTGCCCAGTGGCTGCCTCTATTTCCCTATCAAGACATACATCCCACCACCTACAGTACCTTCCTCAAAAGTAAACTGCAAGTATAGACACGCAAGTTGTATGATGTGAAATTCAAGTACCACTTGTGATCGTAGGGCTCTTCAGCTACTGCTGGGTGGCTTATTCTTTTTCAGACAATACTTTGGACCTTTTCCTGGGACAGTGGGGATAGGCGAGAATTTGAAAGTCACGTGTCTGAAAACGAGGGTTTGCAGAATCTAAAGAGAATCAAGATCTCCAATCTGGTCATTTCGGCTGCCTCCTTTCTCTATGCACCTCTTTAAATCTTGGCTCACGATGATGTCACTTGAACATACCCCTTGCTTGTTTCTTCTTGACTAAAGAAGGAAATGGCCAGCACTCAACAGAAGCCCCAGCCTGGGATTCCCACATAAATGCACTGGCATTGCTGACTGACACTGCATGGGTTGGCCTACATGACCTTTTTGTTGTTGGTGGTGATGATCAAGGGGCTTGAACTCGGCCAACAAGGCACTGTCCCCGAGCTCCTTTGCTCAAGGCTAGTTCTCTACCATGTTGAGCCACAGCACCACTTCTGGTTTTCTGGTAGTTGCGTGGAGAAAGTCTCAGGGACTTTCCTACCCCCGCTGGCTTTGAACCACAATCCTCAGATCTCAGCCTCCTGAGTAGCTAGGATTACAGGCATGAGCCACCTGCATGACCTTTTACAACCGCTTGTGCTCACGGTGTAGCACACTCACCTCTTCTCCTGGGTGGATTTCCTGCACGGCCCTTACTTCTGCCAGGGTCCCCTTGTAGGTCACAATGACATTGGGGCAACAGCTATGATTCATCAGTGCCACACTGTCGATCAGAAGAGAAGACCCATTGTTTTGAATGACATCAGAGATGGGGAAGCTTTTCTTTGACAAGGATCATGTGGATATTTATAACAGCATTTGTGGACCAGGTAAAATGATTTATTTAGACAGAAAGGCTGAAGGGAACCAACAAGCAACATACAAGAAGCATGCATGTGTGTAGTACCATGTACCAAATGACATTGTGGTTCTTACACCGCCTGCAGGATGGATGTTCCTCACTTCTAGCTGAGCTGGAGGAACTGAATTTTCCTAAGACTTTTTTTTTTCCCTTCCTGGTCATGGGGCTTGAAATCTGGGCCTGGGCACTGTCCCTGAGCTTCTTTTGCTCAAGGCTAGCACTCTACCACTTGAGCCACAGCCCCACTTCTGGCTTTTTCTGAGTAGTTTTATTGAAGGTAAGAATCTCAAGGACTTTTCTGCTTGGACAGGCTTCAAACCATGATCCTCAGATCTCACCTCCTGGGTAGCTAGGATTACAGGCATGAGCCACCAGTGCCTGCCTTTTGTAAGACATTTAGACTGCGCGGATAAGTTGTTTTGCCATGCATTTATAATAGCTAACAGTTTAATCACAGTAAAAAGCAAAATCCATAATTCAAAACAATATCTAAGCTAAAAGCAAAACCACATAATGAAAACAACAAACTCCACAAATATTCCTTCCTGGTAGATGCAGGACTCACATCCCAACCCCTACAGCTACTGCCGCTCCACTGTACAAGCTACAAGACAAATGGCTTGCGGCTTGCAAGCGGGCTCTCTAAGTGGCTCATCCCTCCCTCGTGCTTTCTTCAGATGTGGAGAAATGCCAGCTGCTAAGTGAGGGAGAGCTTATGATCCCTGGAGGGCCCTGGAGAAGCCTGTTTGAGTCTCTCTGCACCTCAATTTCCTCATCTGGAAAATTGGGACATTATTGCTCCTGCTGCTCACTGTCTGCTTTTCAGGGACAACGAGAAGGGGAGAGGGGGAGAGGGGGGGAGGGAGAGAGAGAAAGAGGGAGGGAGAGAGAGAGGATGGGGGAGAGGGAGAGGGGGAGGGAGAGAGAGAGAGAGAGAGATTCGCCTATGCGAGGTGCTTTGAGCTTTCTGATTATATCAAGGTCAAAGTTCTGAGAACAGAAATTTCTAAACTACAGGGAAAGAGTGCTTGATCTCTGAAAATACTGCCTTTGAAATCACAATGCCGTATGATTTCAGCCCAAGGGGATTTTTCCCCCAATTAAAACTGCCCAGAAACTGGGGCTCAGGCTCCTGTGGGTACAGGTAGCCAGTGCCACCCTCCTGACCCTTGAGAGACCAGAATGCTTTTCACATTTGCCCTAAGGATATGAAAAAAAAAGGGAAAAGGATTGCAAAGATGGGTAAGGATGAAGATGTTCTGCCCGGGGGTCGTGAGGCCCCGCAGTGGCTTCCACTCCCTCCGGCTTGCTAGAGGTCTGAGTGAATGTGTGGTGGGCCTTGTGCCTGGGACCAACAGGAGGCAGGTTCCTGGGTGAGTGTTCTTCTCCTTGGAGAGAGACCGTCTTCCTTGCACACATACCCCAGCTCCCTGCCAGTGAGGGCCAGGCCAGGCCCCAGGACATCAGCTAAAAGGCAAGAGTGCATATTGCAGGAGATGTAGATTTCTAGCATCAACTTTTACAAGAAGGATCAAGTATTCCCTTTCTCCGTAAACTCCTGGGGAATCTCTGTAAGAAAGTGGGTGGGATGCTCTAAGGCAGAGTCTAAAACCACTCCTATTCCTGGATTTGTCATTTCCTGGACTCCTGCAGGAGAATATGACGCCTCCAGCACCACCTCTCCTGGGATGTCTTTTCCAATACCAAGAGCACAGACACTGGAGTTTGTTTCAGGACTGAAGTTGTAGAGCTGAGCCTTCTTCACTGGGAATGGAGGCCCTCCCTTTTCTGCTTTCCTTTTCCCCATGGCAAAAGTCTAGAAGAATCTCCCCACAAATGCACCTGTCTTTGTTACAGGAATTCAAATTGCAAGATGACAACACTGGCCGCAGGGGAAAGAATATGGCTTTCAGTTACTGTGGTCCAAGTAAGCCTGTGGCGGCTGCTCAAGAGACGCAGAGGGGCTGGATGCATGGAGCCTGGCAGCTCAAAACACATGCGGCAGGAGAAAGGGCATGGCTGCAGCGAACAAGTGTGAATGCTGGTGAAGGCATGAGAGTTGTGCCGTGACCCCTGTGCTTCTAAGTGTGACATCCACGGCCCCTACAGTACAGTACACACTGCAGTGATTACATACTGCAGTGAACCCCCTTCCTGCTCATGGAATTCATCTCCAGTGTGGATTTCCTCGGGGTGCAGGAGGGCTTCCCTGCTCCATCTGTGAAGCAAAGGCTCCAGACTGAGGAACTAAATCATCCTGTAAGTCCTCCCCGTTCTAACAGGAAGGGCAAGGCCACTCCTGGCAATCCACGAAAGAACTATGAAGATCTCTTATTTGTCCATGGGCTAATCAAAAACCCAGTTTCAAGGGAGACCAAGCTGAAGTAGTGAATTATTTGAAGGAAAATTTCAAAGAACAATTAGCTTCTTCTACCGAAATAGTTTTTTTGAATCAGCAGTATTCAAAAAGGAGAGTTGACAAGATGCCCATACAAGTCTCTACCAAGCCCATGGGTATTCTTGGTTAGCAATTAAGGTCTCGGTTTGAGCAGAAGAAACCCAAAGATTTCCAGAAGCAGCGACACACAGAAAGCTCATCTCTCAGCAGGTCAGTATCTGTTCTTCTGCATACCATCAAATATCCCCTTAATAACAGTTCTCCGCCTAGCAGGACTCAACAGCAACTGTTCTCTTAACTACTGCCTTTGGATCCTTAAGTGGAGGGGAAATATTTTGAAATCTGACAGATTAAAAAGCTATCTTAATTTACTTGGAGTTTCATGCCTGCCACATGCAGATCAGTGGGTTATGTAAAAATTAAAAAAAAAAACAGAGAGCGATCAAATTACTGTTAAAAGTACAAAGGAAAGAAATGCAAGTCAAATTCAACCTACTCAGGAAATATCGCTGATCCTAAATGAGAAAGTTCTTCATCTTCAATGGTGAAGCCATTGCAGTTAACCTGTAATGAAAAAGCAAGAGGACAAAAGGTCAGCTAAAGCTTCCCCCCGGATGGAGATCATGAACTGGTCTCTTCACAATGAACTAGGGAAGATGTTCTGGTTCAGTTCCATAGTTTTAAAACGCTGTGTGTGGCCCTTGTATCTTTTGTTCCAACAAAACTTATTTTGAATTCTTAGGTGTAAATACAGAAGCCAACTGTAAGGGCTGAAGACCCTTTTCCTGTGGCCCACCTACCCAACAGTTCACCACAGGCCAGGAACATTACACGCCCCCACATCTCCCCAATCTGAGGTTTCTATACCGGCATGGTTATCAGGCTACTTGGGGCCAGGATGCTTAAGAGTCTAATTCTGATAATGCTATGGCTTTTTTGTGTGTGATTGGGGCCCATTGCTGATTCCCCTGCTTTTAAATAAAATAACCCTTAATCCAATGCCCCTACTCTGGGTAAACACAAAACCCCTCATTCACCTATTTAATGGCTGCCTCTCCCCTTAAGAAGGGTCTGAGGGCCTGAAGCCAAAGGACTGAGGCTTTGCTTTTCATGTCTCAGCCTAATGAATGATTGGCTACTTTCTCATCTTTGAAAGAAACTGTTCATTAAAATACCAAGGGCAGCTGGAGGTATAACTCAAGTGGCAGAGCCCCTGACTAATAGTAAACACTAAGTCCTGAGTACTACTATTCTCCTACCCCCCCATTATGTGTACACACACACACACACACACACACAGAGCAACTCTTACTAGAGGTTTAACTTTTAGGAAAAGCAGGCTACATTCTGTAAACCTGTTCTTTTTTACATTTATTGACAGACTAAAACCAGAGCATAAAAAAACCACCATGCCAAAATCTATGCCCTCTGAGATTGTTTCCTCAAGACTCAGACTCTTCATGTTCTAGAGGACGAATCTGAGGTGAGAAATAAATTTTGGCTAGTCTAGAGTCTTAAAGACTAAGACCCTGCTCATCCTGCAAGGCTGCATGACTTTTCCTCCCTCCCTCCCTCCCTTCCTCCATCCCACACCGTGAGACATGGCACTGCACCCCCTCAGCGAACAGACATTTGTGAAATGAGCATTGCTGAGCACCACTGCAGCTAGGAACTGTGCTGGGAGCAGTTTCATCCACACCCAGTTTCACAGTAGAATTATGATAACAACCTGTTTTACAGATGGGGAAATGAAGCCTAGGAGAGACCATGTAAGTACGAGTGGCAGAGAAGGATCAGAATTGAGATTAGACATTCTGACAATGAAGCCTGGCTTCATACTGCACCGTGTTTCTTCTAAGATAGATTTACTATGTCTCTAATGTGGTAATCGTACATAAAATTACTGGCAAAGGCTTGGGAATCCTGAGTATCTATTGAAGTAAGGGCTATGATAGGTTGTACATGCAGAAGGGGGAGGAGAACATGGAGGAGGAAGCTGTAGCCCCAGGACCTTCTGGCCTGATGGTTCTCTGACCACTGGTCCCTGAATACCTTTTCTGCCTCCCCTTATTGCAGAAGAGGGAGTGTGTTTCTTCCTAAGTATCATTACTGCTCCTTCTGGGGAGGCAGCAATGGTGTTTAAGCCAAATTGCATAGCAATTTTCCTGCCAGCTTTCCTTCTCTTCAGAGCCATCCCTGGGGGGAAAAAAGGGAACTTACACGTTAAGAAAGATGCATGGGCCACTGTCCTCTTTTTTTAAGTCAAATCAGGCATAAATGCCTTGCTAAAGCTATTCTCATAATTAGCATTTAGACTAGATGTAAGCTGCACAGCAAAAATACACTTCCCAGCCATGCATATGTTCCGATGATTAAAACACACCTCAATGCTGTTGAACAGTGCAGTCACCATGGCTGCCAGCTGCTGCAGGACTGCAGGTCAGCCCCCGGCAGCCTCCTCTGGACCAGATGGAGGAAAGGGCTCAGAGGTAGATGCAAAGCTGGGTGGCATGGGGAAGACATACTTTTCCCTTGGGCTTGAGTTTTCTTTGGAGTTACAGAATGCCACTTCTTAATGCCACTTCAGAGATGAAAAGAATGATATGTGGTGGGGGGGAGGGTTATTGGTGTATGCATATGTATCCACATGCCCAGATGCTTAAAGTACTTAAGTCAATTCTTCAGATTTCTACTACCACTTAAATCATCATCTCAGGATACTCAAGAAAACATGGTGGAAATCCAGAACAATGAAAGTCCAGAAGGCTTTCCATCACTTCTATTTTCACATTCATATTTTCAAACCACTATTCCTGTCACAAAGAACAGTAGTTATTTTCTAAATGGGACAGTCACATAATTGAAGTATATCAACATAAAGTCTATGAAAGAATTCATGAGCTGTTAACAGTGGTTCCCTTAAGGGTTGAAGTGAGCAGAAGAAAGGAAAAAATTCTTTACCTTTTTCTTCTTCTTAGTTTGGTTTTAGTTGTGTTTTTTCTTGGGAGGGGTGATTGCACTGAGATCTGAACTCAGCTTCACACTTGCTCAGTTTTTCAGGTTGGCTGGCATTCTGCCATGTGAACTATGCTTCCAGCTAAGCTTTTTGCTGGTTATTTTTTGAAATAAAGTCTAGTAGATTTTTCTGCTCAGCTGGCTTTGAACTGAGATCTTCCACATCTCAGCCTCCCCATTAGCTAGGATTATAGGTGTGAACTACTACTGGCACCCAGCAGTATTTTTTTTAAGTTAGTCCTTTGTAAAAAAAAATCCATGAAAGTATCTAGTGGAGGGGAAAAAATATTCCACAATTCAGAAAACAACCACCTGTGAACTGGAATCTTTTTTTTTTGTCAGTCGTGGGGCTTGAACTCTGGGCCTGGGTGCTGTCCCTCAGCTCTTCAGCTCAAGGCTAGCACTCTACCACTTCTGGTTTTCTGGTGGTTAAGTGGAGATAAGAGTCTCACAGACTTTCCTGCCCAGGCTGGCTTTGAACCACGATCCTCAGATCTCAGCCTCCTGAGTAGCTAGGATTACAAGCGTGAGCCACCGGCACCCAGCTGGAATCTTTAATATATATACATAAACTTTCCTATCACACACTGTTTTCCACCGGTAAAATCCCCCATCCCAGCAATCATTGAAACTAAGTTATATACAAGCTATGTAACCACCATCCACCAATGACAAAATTTCATCTAAGCAAATTCTTTCTTACCCCTTCCCTTCCTTCCTTCCTTTGGGTGTTTAAAAGAACCCTATAATAGATAATTTACATAGAAACCTGTCTGTTGTCTCTGATTATTTCCTTGGGATTGGCTACAGGAAATGGAAGGACAGGGTCCGAGGGTACACTGGTGATGTGCATTGCCTTCTATTTTATGACAGAAAATGTAAGTAGTCCCTGGCTTTTAAATACCTCTAGAGACCATATGTTCTAGCACTGATGAGAACACAGCAATCGCACCCATACATGAGTATTCCAGTCCTTCCCTCTTGGAGATGTCCTTCAACAAGATGGAAAATGCTTGGAGAGGAACATGCTTGAGTAGTTGAGAGAAAGGGATCTAAGGTGTCAAGTAGGGCTGAGAAGGACAATCCCAGAAATAAGAGGAAGGCTGTGCACCCCACTGAGTCCTGACTGGCATCCTTTCCCCTTGTCCTAACTGTGCCCTAACTTAACCTTTCCCATGGCACATTATAGAGGCCAATTAGTAATCACTTCCAAGTGGTTCTTTTTTACAAGATCCTTTAATTAATTAATTAATTTTTATACCTGACTTTCAAAAACCCGGGCTCTTTAGGACTCCTGAGCAGCCATTAGGAAAGACTTCAGGGCCAAGGCCCATCAGGGATTCCCCTTATCCTTTTCAGGCATCAGACAGAGATTCTCCCTCAGAGCACCTACAAATTCTCTGCTGTTATCGGCTCAGCCTTATTAGGAGGAGCAACTCAGAGAAGGGCATCTTCTACCAGGGTGCAGGATTTCAGAGAGGAAAAGTGAAATTCAACTGAAAACTTCATTTGGTTGTTTCGCTGCAAAGAATTGAACACATGGGTGCCTGAGAACCAGGGCACACTGGCAGCTCCTTTGTTTCCATGAAAACTGGGAGGAAAATAAATACCCTCCTCTCTAGCTCTCTTGGAGGGTTAGCCCAGAGAGGACCTTCATCTGCTCAGGTTACCTAGCAAGGTTTGTGATCATGTAGATGTCATCCTTTGTCTTTTCCTAAGGACATGCTGAGCGGAGGGGCTGAGGGAGAGAAAGGCTAAAGCTTTATCTGACACTGACTGGCATTCTTACCTGTGCGAAGAGCACTATAAGGCTGCTGTGGCTGGGGAATTCGAGGTGCTTAGAGTAGAACTGATGAAGGGCAGCAATGTCACTCTGAATCAAATCTTTCTTCTCATTGTCTAGCTTATCCAGATCTATGGATAAAAGATCCATTATTCGCCCCGTAGAAAACACTCAATTGCCAACTTCATCTGTTTCTTTCATAAATGGCCCGGAGGAGCAGGGAGGAAAAAAATCCAGCATGTGGAGTCCCACAGAACATGTTTTCCCTATCACCTGGCTAACCTAATAAATGTTGGAAAATGAACAGCACACTCTTTCTCTTCTCCCTTCCTCCAACAGAGGGTACCCATGACATGAAATGTCATGTGGTCATTAGCAGTGAGGTCAGGAATGAAGAGGTAGTGACTGCTAACCAGTCACAGTATGGTCAAACTCCCCCCCTCCTCCCCCTTGGCCTTGGGATCTGTGTCATGATCAAGCAACTGGACACCCCTGATTTAATGTCTTTCAGTAAGGACATCAGCTGTTTCCAAGACTGCAATTCAGCAAAGATCCAAAAATATTCAGCATGCAAGGGAGCCAGCAGACAGGACTCAGGGTGCAGTCATTCATCTTGTGAGGTCCTACCAGCTCTAAATCACTTCCTAATAAACTTGTCAACTCAAGAGGGGGAAAAAAGAAAAGTATTTTTCATGAAACAGATTGACACCCCCACCAAAGAAAGTATTTTTCAAAATAGCATACAAGTCCAAATAACACCATCCCTCCTCTAAGTGAATAAATGATCCTTTCCCTTTCTTCACCTTGCCTAATCCACCTTAAATTTGTGACTAAAGAAACTGCCCGGCTGGTCACAGAAAGACTTACGTGATTCAAACTCCTTCACAGCTAACAGTTTCTCCGAAGGTGTTCTTTCTGGGTAGATTTTCTAGTAATTGGGGAAGAAATCACAAAGACAGAGATGTTAACAACTGGTCTGAAAGGAAGTGCTTTTGCTTTCACGTCCACATGAAGAAGGCGACAGTTTTCAAGGAAGAAAGCTACCCAAGGAGTCTACCACCCGAGGCTCTGAGAATGCCCAACATTCCAAGCACAGAGCTCTTTGAAAAGGCTTTTCAAAGTGTCCACCGCATTTCTGACATCCTGAGAATACTAGGCACACAGTAGGCTCAGAAATGCTTATTATGGGAGAGAACGGGCCAGAAAACAACTTTTTTTAGGGTCCTTACTTAAAAGGATCAAATCTACAGACAAACCATCCTATTTATTATTTCTCCTTCTAAAAAGGAACAAAATCCAACCCCCCATCCATTTTACACTTCCTTTAAGCATAGGCTAAAATGATCTCAAATTCCGTGTTTCAAAAAGAACACTTTTGGTTGTGTCTGTGAGCCCAGATTCACTTTAAACGTGTTGCTGGCTTTGTTCTAGACGCCCCAAGAGGAGCTAACAATAGTAAACCTGCTAGGCTTTGAGAACATGAATAAACTTGGTGTTGACAAGAGTTCAAACACAGAGCTCAGGAGCTGGCCCAAGGCCTCGTCTTTGTAATCTGGCTATTCAATTTGGGGATACAGGTGGTCTCGCGGGGTGTTCTCACCTCCCTAGTTAACATGTTAAGCTTCCCCTTGGTAGTTTGGTAGCCTGTCTCCCCTAATCCTTTGCAAGCTACTGGAATACAAATGGTCTGGTTTTTTAATCACCAAGTCCTATAGAGATGAAAAGATGGCTAGGTAACTTGTCATTTAATAGACTATTTAGTAGTGTAGTAATTATAATAAAAGTTGAATGAAACGAGTGTAAACTCATCATAGCATTCAGACTACCCTTCCTGGGGTCAGAAATCTTTCAATCATTCTTTTGTAGAGCAGAAATCTTCCATTCATGGAATGGAAGATTAATAAGTCTTCTTGCCCAGGGAAGCATTTCATTCAGGAAAGCTCACCAGTTCCTTCTGAATTCCTGTTAAGAATTCGACCAATAACACCAGTAAGGCAGGGGAAATGAAGAAGAGCCAGAAATTTTTGGTCTCCTGATCCTGAAATGTGCACAATCTGATACCTTTAATGGCTACTCACCCTGATATCTCATCCAGTCACACCATCCCTCTGTATCCTTCCCTCCCCCCAACTAACTGCTGTACATAAACTCAAAACTAACTTCTTATTAAGGATCCAAACGTTAACCCCCTACAAGGAAGAATGATACTGATCTTTTAGTGTGTGTGACTCCACCATAACCTTTGAATGGCTCTGATTACACTGAGTTGAATATTCGAATTAGTTCCACTTATTTATTTATTTATTTTAGCAGCACCTGACCCAGTCTGAACACAGTAGGATGATGATCTCAGAATCTGAGAATGTTCTACTCTTGTTTATATACCCAGCATCCTACTTTGGTCCGGGGACAAGTACATAGTAAATCATTACATCATGCTCAAGTTTCAGAAAACAGACCCATGTGAGCCGGGTAGGTGCTGGGAGGTGTAAGGAAGATAGAGGTGGATAAAGCTCTCACAGGAAGGTATTTAAAGCACAGAGGCTTGCCACCCGTGTCTCCACCCACATGGTAAAAACTCCATGGATTGATGCTTTCTGAGCATCCACAGCCTACTTCAGAGGTCCAAAGGTGTCTTCATATTTGCAGAGATTAGCAGGGTCCCATTCTCATGCAACTAACCATGAAGAACTGACCAAGCAAGGGGGGGGGGGAAACAGTTGGTTTTTGAAGAAGACTGCTGGTGATGGATAACCTGTCCACCTGGGGATCTGTCTTCTTTCCTCTTAGCCTCTTCCCCAGCCCTCTGCCTCTGTTTCTACTTCTACTCTTTTCTCTTGGTATTTGCTATCACCCTGGCTGTTCCCTCTGCTTCCTTGCCTGTCCCTGCACAACAAGGGAGTAAAGAGACAGAAAGAATACCATACAGCGAAGGGGATAAAGTAGATCTCTATGTTAGGAAGGAAGAAGAGAAAATCTCCACGCTTCTCAGAGTAACCTGGCCCTCTAAGCAGCTCTAATTTTCTTTTAAAAATCAAATTTCTTATGCTGTGAAGTTATGTTCATCTTTTTTATGTACACTAACTAAAAAACAAACAAAACATTGCATTTAACAATAGTCATGTCTATGTTCTTGGTCTGGGGTAAGCCACAGCCTACTGGCATAAGGGAGACAAAAACAAAAAACAAGTTTTTGCACAGAGTGCTACTTCACCCCATCCGCCAGGATGTGACGGGAAATGGAGCCCAAGAAAGTTTACCAAGAGGTGAACATTCAGTTATTTAGATGTCAGTTCTGACAGCTAAAGAAAATGAAATGGCCTTGACCTTGCCAATTGAACACTTCTGTTTCCTCACCTGTTTGGCCAGAATCCTTGCTGTTAGTCTTACAGTCTCCGAGGGGGTCCAGTTCTCCCCCAAAACCACCATTGGCGAACACTCCAGCTTGTGCATGGGCCAGTCTTCTTTCTGGGAAGATTTTTAAAACTTAACAAATACAAACACACAGTGGAAGAAAGTACCGGAAAAGAGGATATAGTTAAGTGCCCCTTAGTTAAGGTCAAGGGAAGTATGTTTCTTTTTGGAAAATGCTAAGACACTCATAAAAGCTAGAGGTTAATATCTTTTCAGAGAGGCAGGACTGCGTAACCTTTACTCGGGCTTGGACGTGGTGGTTGAGATGAGAAAATGTGCTTTGTGTTTTTGCAGCAAGCACCACATGTCTTTCTGCAGACCCTCATTATTCCACACAACATGTCCACCTTCCCATTATCTGGGCAGGCTGTCAGAAGGGGGGCTAGGGATCGAGCTCTGGCCACTGATCTGGCTCTGCTCTCGGTACAGTCCCGCTCTGGCTCTGTTCTCACGTCAGGGCAAATAACTGATAGGTGGCTTGTTCCCTTTTCCTGGTGATAAAAAAAAAAAAGAAAGAAAGAAAAGAGCAAACACAATGAGGGCTTTGTCAAGGGCCCTCAAAGTGTCTGATAAAGGCGACTATGGAAAATATAGAAATATGGACTGCTCAGCTTCATTTGATTACAACCCTCTCCCCCTCCCCCAGCCCTATTTCTTTCTTCCCCTTGTCTTGGAGCTTTCCTTCCCTGGATGGACAGGTAGAGGGTGTGATCTCATTGCTGGGATGGGGATGGTGGAGGCAGGAGGACGCAGGTGTGTTAAGACAAAAGAAGAAAGTGCTCTGAGCACTGAGGACGCAAATGAGGACGCCAGTGCTGGTTGCTGATGGGGGTATAGCGTAGGATGGCTCTGAAACTGATTGGGGGGGGGGCGGGTCACAAAGGTCATCACAGGCTTTGATTTTTAAAAAATCTGATGAGATGAGAGTTGCTAAGTGGATTCAAGAGAAAAAAAAAATGGAAGGATGGAAGGCCCAAAGAAGTGGGTGAGGGTTTACAGGGATCTAGGGTTGAGGGGATCACATTATAGATGCTATAATTACTCTGATGGAGCCCTTCAGACATGGCAAGCCCATTCTTACGGATGCTCAGGCCAGAACCTCAAGAGTCACTCTGGACACTGTGCTCACTCACACACCAAGTCCAATTCTCTGCTGATCCTGCCCTCGGCTACCCTGATTTTAATACCAACATGACTGCCACGGCCTGACCCCCACACATGGCTCAAGAGAGCAGTCAGAGGGATTCAGTCCTAGAACTCGGAGGAGAAAAAATGGTGACACCCTCAAGATGATGTGTGAAGCCACCGATGACAGGAGCTCCCCACTTCTCCAGCCTGGCATCTCCCTCCATGCTCTCCCCAGCCATGGCGGTGTCCTTGCTGCAACTCGAGCACGTGACCTTGACCTTGCTGCAAGACCTTTTGTCCTTAAATGACTTCTTGTGTGTTGCAATCTTCCTTCCCTGTGGCTCTCTCCCTCCTCCTGCTCTCTAATGTCATCCTTCAAGCCACCTGCCATGACCACCCTGCCCACAATGCTCCTCCACACCATGTTCCTTCCTCTTGCTCTCTGCTGCTTCTCAGTACGTCTCACCATGAGGTGACATATGCAACAGACTTCTGGCTTAGTATCTGTGTCCATGTTCCACACACACACACATACACACACACACACACACACACACACACACACACTCATACATCATTAAAAAGGAAGAACTCAGTCTGTTGTGTGCACGGCTGTCACTCCAGGGCACCTATACTGTGTCTGACATTTCCTGGGCCTTCAGCAGACTCGTTGAGAGAATGACGCTATCTTCCTGCCCTGCTTCCTCCACTCTCATCACAAGAAGGAAAGGCACACAGTAGCACGAATGATTTAGTGCCATACTTGGCACAACCCCCCGTGGCTCAAGTTCTATGCCAAGATGTATCACAGAGTTAAATAACACCATGCCAAATATAACTGAGAGCAGGGAGAGAAAGAAATGACAAGATATGCCCAAGGGAGCAGAGGATCTGTTTTTAGCCAAAGCTGAAAACGAGAGCATGGTGAGGAGGCATTGGGACGGGAACAGGAAGGTCCAGCTCCCCAAGAAACGTGGCTTCCTTCCCAGCAGCAACACCAAGAGGCCTGGGTCACTGAACGGACCAGGCCCTATGGGGCCCAAAACAGAGGGGCGGTGAACAACTGCAGGTAAGCTCCCACTACATCCAACCCCAGGAACTCCACACAAAGTCCAGCTGAAGACACATCTCTGTCCTCATGGGTCTTTAAGCTACTGGTTATCTTCAAGCTACTGGTGCTGCTTTGCTATTTACCAACAACAATAAACTCTTGGGAGACTGGACGATAGTAGTTAAATAATATTTATTCATACTAACTATTAATCTAATGTAGCTTTAGTTGATATGAACATAATATGTAACACTGACATTTACCATGCAAATGTCATGGAAGGGAAGGGCTCACACTTCAGCGAATGCTCTGAAGATCAGGAGAAGATCAGCAGCCAGTGTCTGGGGGAAGGGGCATTCTTATCCAGCTCCGCAGCGAAGAGCTATGACATACCCGCCAGCCTCTTAATCCCTCTGCACCTGTCTCCTTAGCTGTAAATAACATGATCCCTAAGTTACTTAACAGGTCCAGAATTCTGAGTCTTTGAGTTTACACCTTCTGACAGTGATGCTCAGACCACAAAGCCTGAAGACTACCAACAATTGTAGGACTTTTAAATTAGGATAACCAGGCATTCATGCAAACATAAAGGGTCTTGTGAAGACGCAGTAAGCTAACCTACAAAAAGCAATTAAAACACTGCCTGGTATACAGCACAGGATCAACAAACCTCAGTAATTTTTCATTTACTAGTTCACACAGTCGTTCAACAAGTGCCTCCACTGAGCCTAAAGGCAGGAATGGAGGACAAAGTCTGACTTTAAACAGATTATGAGCACATTAAGAGCACAAGGTTAAAAGTAAGAGCACCTATAATTAGATACAGCCCCCACACAGCAGTTAAACCAGAGTGCTAGATAAATTCTAGCTAATATAGAATTGTATAAGTTACACCACGGGGGATATAGTATACAGTAGGATAGCAATAATAATAATGTCTCATTTTCATTTGTGATGAAAATAATATATGGATGAGGGGAAGAAGGAAAGAGCTGTATCATAAATGCACTTCTCAGCTCTATTATTAGAAAAGAAAATAAAGAGGGGAAACATTTGGTAGAAATATCAGATATGTTTAAAAAAACAGAAACCAAACAACAAACACTGGATGGTTTTATCAGGTGGGATACAACCCAGAGCCTCATACATGCTACCCAAATGCTCCACCACTGAGACAGTCCACCCCAATCCCCATGTGAGCATATTTTGATTCCGTCTCTTCTATCATAGTGAGGATCCATAGATCTCAGAGGAGATACTAAAGCAGCTTGTCCAAATTTTGCCCATAAGAAACTATGAACACCCATCCTAGGCAATTTTTTAAAAACAAAAACAAAACACAGGCACAGCAGATGAATAAGAATCTATCTTGCTAATTAACAGTTTGGGTTTTTTTTTTAATTGGTAGTTTCATTGTTCACAGACTCTGCAACTCTTTTTATCTGATGTATAAATGTATAAATGAATGTGTACATTTATTTAAATATATCATCTTTTCAAATTTATTTTTATTATCTTTAAGTAGTTATACAAAGGAATTGCCACTCAACAAAGCAATTTATAAATATAATGCACCTTGATCAATGCACCCCTTTCAAAGTTCTCCCCCTCCTTCCCTCCCCTCCCAATTCTCCCTCAACTTTCTAAATTTTGTAGGATATTATGCACTGTATTTTATGACTGCTCCCTACCTCCTTTCTTTGTATTCTCTATGATTTTTTTAAATAATTCTTAAGTTTTTTCTAAAGCTGTTTTTCTTCAAAATTCAAGCAATCACTCCTGCCAGTGCAGTCCTTATAAAACCGTGTATATAATAGGATCTCTCTTCTAGAAAAAATAGCACACATATACATGTACAGAAAGATTCAGACAGACATGTACCAATGCAGATGATTTACTAGTAATTTTCTCTCAGGGAATAGGATTTTCATTCTGTTCTTCCTTTAGACTGTTCTGACTTTTCTATAATGAGCACAGATTGTTGGTGTGATAAAACATAAGCAATCCAATCTATTTAAATTAAGACAGAGCTTTTTTTTTTTTTTTTGGTACTGCTGATTCTCTTTTTAAACATGACTCACTTTCAGCCACGATAGTGCTGTGCATGACTGAATTTTGTGTGTGGACAGAAATGTTCGAAGATACACAAAGAGCTATGACATTGCTTCCTGGTACACTAGCATTTCCAACTCTGGAAGGAGAGAAATTATTGTGGCCCCTTTTTTTTCTGTTGAGCAGAGGCTGTTCGGTTTGACTAAGGTGGTAAACTTCATTATGAAATGCTCTTTTCTAGCTCTAGCACTGGTGTTTCTACAGTCCTAATAGAGCTTTCAGAGCTCAGCGTCTACCACCTACACATGTGTATATGCAATTTCCTAAAATGTGGAATTGCAAGAAAATGCCACAGGACTTGTGCTTTGCACATCTGTTACCTCCAAGAGGAGAAATGGGAAAAGGAGTCCGGAAGACACTGACAATTTTGTGGGAAAAGGACCATGTGTTGAACCACCCTGGCTCCCTGGCACAGGAGCTTTGCTTTCTATTCATAACAAAGAAGCAATGGATGTACTCTGTCATTCATACACACACTTCTTCCTACCCGTGACATTGAGCAATCAGACAAATGAGTAGCCCAGGTTTAGGATGCTTCACCTGACTGGGTGAAGACATCACAGTGAGCTCAGCGAGTTCCATTCTCCAGTTACCCTGAACAATGACAAGGTTCTACAAAAGCACTGATTAAACATACCTGACACTTCAGGTCTACAAAATACATAACAAATGCCTAGATCTATGACACATCTTTCACTACACGCTCTCCACATGTGCTTTAAAAACAACAACAATGCTATCACAACAGGCCCCTCTCTACTTTCAGAAGCATACTTATAACCTGTCACTCCCACACTGTGGCTTTTTTTCTCTACACTTCAGGTCAAGAACTATCCATCAGACAGTTTGACCACACAATGACGATTTCTCTACATAAAAACTTATTTCTAAAACTGCTCTCCTTGAATATGTCACGGTACAATTTAAAGAAGTCTGAGTGAATAGTAGATTTGGTTTTCTGGGCCTATTTATAAAAGTAAACATAGTTCATTAAAACACACAGCTTGTGAAGTCACAAGCCTAACTAAAAAGGAGTTTCTTTGCCTTTTATATTTCATCCTATCACCTTCTCATGCAGCATCAATTAAAATCTTTCCTCTGGCACCATCCCACTGAGCCAAGTGAACGAAGAGGGAAGAAAACAGAACGAGACAGACCAACTGTAGCAAATAAGGTACAATCCTAACACACTGAAGACAGAGAGGGGAGGAGGGAGAACACATACGGCAAGAAGACCAGAGAGCAATGGACCTTCACACTCATGGGGAGGTTCTGGACCAAGACACCAGCATCGGAGAGGGCCCTTCCTGTTCACATCCATAAAAGTGCCTTTTCTTTCTCTGATACATCCTCACAGGGGACCTCCAGGACTCACAAGCCTACTGCTCTCCAGTGGGAGAGGGCTTCTACCACAGTGTCAAGGGTCACCCTGATTCTGCCATTGTTGACCTAGGGCAGGCCACTGAACCACTTCACACTACATTCTTATCTACGGGCAGGATGAACCAGTCTGGTGCTAATCCCACCACCGGCAGAATACAAGTGGGTGGTGCCTTCCTTTGAGGCCCAGCCAATGAAACCCAGGCAATGAGCAGTAGTGCCAGGCTTTCTTCAATGGGGAATCTATTACCTTCCTCGTCGCTGCTCTTATTTGTGCCACATCTTATCCTTCAGAACCTCCACGCTAAGCTCATCCAAGCATCCCCGTGTGTGGAACCCTGAACACATTTTTAATCCGATTCCTTCCTAAAGGAAGGTTCTATCTTAATGAAATGGTTCTTAGTTATTCAGAGTTCAGACTCCTTGTACAACAAGTCTAACTCACCCAAGACATGCCATTAGTACCCTTGAGTTCTTAGAAGCCTGCCTTTCTCTTAGGCCAGAAAACAAGCTCCTTAAAATTATAAGTATACTATTGTCTTTATTCTTCATAGGAAGCTAAGCTTCCATCCGGCCTAAATTTGTAAAATTCCACTTTACTGTCTAGAGCCCTTGAACTGCCCTCCAGTTCCAGATGCTTAAGTTGTATTAAGCCCTATGCCCAGACTACTTATTTAATACTCTGCCCTACACCTATTTAGTTCTTTAGGACAAAAGACTGAAAAACTCTTAACAGCTCTTAGCTTCTTCCCTCAGCAATAGGAGAAGAAAGAAAACCGAAACTTAAGGTGGATGCAGCACATGGCCTGGAGAAACAAGAGCTGTGTCATCACTTGCCACCTAGAGGGGACCCTGGTCACTAGATACTCAGAGAGAGGAAAACAGAGCCAGGCGTGAAGTGCTCCCAATGCGGGGTCCATGGCCTTGGAACTAAGTGAGAGACCAGTAGTGAAAATTCACCATGAGGTGGCCTGCCACCTCTGAACATTACTGTCTCCTAAGTCGTGGGGGTCCTCCCCACCAAGCAACTGTCTTATTACAGAGTGAGCACCCGACCCCTCTGGCTTCAGGGGCAGACCATGCAGACAGTCCGAAGTGCTCACTGTAAAGCAACCAGCAGGCATTGTGGCACATGCAGGTTGTGATATTGGTTATGTGAGCCTCCCCAAAGAATGGCCTGCTTACACAGGTGTCTATGGACCAGCTAGTACCTTGGAAGCCATAATGGGCACCTTACTTGAGCCATGCTGATTCATCAACACACGCACTGAGACTTACTGAAACATGACTCAGCAGTGCGTGTGCTGGGAGACATGGCTGTGTGCCACACATTCCGAAGATCCATATTAACGAGCCGGTTCTCAGCTACTCAGAGTTCAGACTCCTTGTACAATAAGCCTAATTCACCCAACGTTTATCTTTAGTACCTTTGAGTTCTCAGAAGCCCGCCTTTCTCTCGGGCCCAGAAAACAAGCTTCTTAAAATCAAAACTACACGGTTGCCCTTATTCTTTGTAGAAAGCTAAGCTTCCATCCAGCCTGAATTTGTAAAAATCCACTTTACTGTGGGCTCTGCCAATGATATTTATAACTCCTCACATCTGTTCAGTTCATATAGAATGTTCATTTCTGCCCTTATCACTCACCAAGATTGACATCACTGTCCTCAGTTTCTATTTAAGAAACTGAATCTCAGAGCTATCTTGTGATCTGCCAAACTCCAAGAATTGGTAAAGAGGTACCCTGGGACCTGCTCGTTGGCCATGGCCTCCTGGTATTTGGGGTTCTACCCGGTGAACTGTATCTGGTTTACTGTGCTTGCAACTCTAGAGAGTCGGGAGGGAAAGAGTTCATTTTTATAGAATTTTTTTTACCTACACATTAAAAAAAAAAAGTCAAACCGTGTCCTTCCAAACCCAGGCCCACTGGTGTCTACAACACCCTGATAATCTGAGCATAGACCACCCTCTCCACCACCGGCCATGGCAAAGTAAGATCTCTCTTCTTCCAAAGAAGGCATACTCCTCTCAAAACTCAACACAAGCCCTATTAGTGTGGTCAATGTCACACGAGCTGAGCTCCTCGAAAGCCTGCAGTGGGAGAGGCAGACAGGACACGGGTCTCGAGTGAAGGGAGGCTGAACTTCCCAAGGCAAGGCCTCCAAGTGTGCGTTGCTCTCTCCGGCAAGAGCTCTGTTGTCACTGGAGCTCTGCTGTCAGGTGAGACGTGGGGCTTAGTGATCACTCCCACTGCTAAGTAATACCCCCAGTGCTAAGTAATGCTCTCAGGAGGCCAGCAAGGTGACAGGGTGATCACAGGCAGAGCAGATGGGTGGGGGGGGGTGGCAAGAGGAGTTGGGGGTACAAGACATTGGTATAAAAAGAATAGAGAGGAGCAGACACAGAGAAAAGCTTCCTTGTCACTCAGAGCTGCCTACATTTCCTAAGGTGTCGTAATAGGTGTTTGGGGTAGGTTTTTTGTTGTTGTTGCTTGGTTGGTTTTGGTCAGTCGTGAGGCTTGAACTCAAGGCTTGAGTGCTGCCCCTGAGCTTTTTCACTCAAGATTAGCACTCTTACCACTTTGACCCACAGTGACACTTCCAGTTTTCTGGTGTTTAATTAGAGATAAGAATTTCATGGACTTTCCTGCCCAGGCTGGCTTTGAACTATAATCCTCAGATCTCAGCTTCCTGAGTAGCTAGGATTACAGGTATAAGTCACCAGTAATTGGTTTTTTAAAAAGAAAATAGCCAAGGACAGTATGGAGGTTAAAAAAAATAATGTACATATAGATATAACATATGAAAGACTATGAAAGTTTATGAAATAAACAGATAATGGAATGCATTTTCTGTGAAACACAATCATTTTGTGTGACTGGGGTTTTCTAACTGACTTGGGAAACACCATTATATCACTTTTTAGTCCCTCTAAGGCCAACTTAGGGTTCCTCTAATATCTGTCTCCTTCACCATCCCTTCTACTATTCTCATATTGAGGGATTCAGGTGAGAGTTACCCCTCATGCCCAGCCTCTTTCCTGGGCCCTCAGCTCTCAACCCTCATCTGCTTCTGAAGCTCTGGTTCAATCACGTTCACAGCAGCTGCCCCCTGACCTTGAAAAGGTCAAGAACTCACCTGAATATAGCTCTAAGCTGATCTACAAGAGCCCAAGAGTAGTTGCTGCTCTAGAGAATTCTAAACTTTCAGACTCATGGCAACATTTAAAACTCTTTAAGAGTGTTTTCATGGTTTCTGTTTGTCATACCTGTACTGACCATCTATTGCTGGCATCCTGGCGGGGGGGTGGGGGTGGACAATGTCAATTGTGGTGACATTCTTCCCCCCTTTTCCTGTACCTCATTTCTGCTCTCACATGTTGCCCAAACTGTGAGTACCCATCACTGGCTGCCTGTTCATCCTGGGCAGTATGTACACATACAGGATATGCCCTCCCGGGGCTGCAGGGAGACACTGGCATTCAATGACAAAAATAGAGGACACTGGGGTCCCCATTTTGAAAGACAGAGAGGCCCTCCCTGCCAGCTGGCCCAGGACCTACCTGACACTCCACATTGCAGTAAAATGCCTGCTTGCATCTTCCACATTTCGACAATCCTTCTTTCCTTAAAAACAGAAAGGGTACGGTAGTGGCGAGAGGCACAGAGATGCAAGACGGTTCATCAGATCATGCAGTAACAGAAGACACCTGACCAGGTGCAGAGCCATGCTTCTCCTTACCTTACTCTCTGCATAAATGGCATCTTCCCCAAGTACATTTAAACCAGATTAACCCCTTAGAGGGGGAAACATGCATCCCATGCTAACCAACAACCCCCAGTGTGAATGAAGGGTACTGTCCAAAGACTCCAAGCATGCGCGCTTTGATTCGTGACCCTGACCTTGAGAATCCTCGGCTGCTAATGTCACCTGTATAACTATTCCTTAGTTTGGAGAAAGTCACATCCTTCTGCATCTTGTCTCATCTCTTAACAAAACATATTATATTATAGGTCTAAGCCCATAAAGGTGGAGCATGAGGGCATACCTACCCAGGTGAAAACATCACATGAAGAAGAGAATGCATCCAAATGTTGTTCAGAAAGCTCAGCTTAAAACTAACGTAACCCTAGGTGGTGCCAGTGGCTCCTGCCTGTAATCGTAGTGACTCAGGAGAATGAGATCTTAAGATTGAAGTTCAAAGCCAGCCTGGGCAAGAAAGTCTGAGACTACTATACCTGATTAACCAGCAAAAAGCCAGAAGTGGAGCCCTGGCTCAAGTGATGGAGCACTCAGCCTTCAGCGAAAAAGCTAAGGGGCAGAGAGAGACCCAAGCCCCTGAGTTCAAGCCCCAGTACCACACACCACTCCCCGCCCTGCCACACACACATAAAAATGAAAATAACAATAATGGAACCCAGGAGAGGCTGTGGTATGTTCTGGTATCCAGTTCTTCTTACTGGATCTGGTTCCTACACACATCTACCTTCTGTGAGTTCAAGTGAGGGGCTAGCTCCTCTGCATAGTTTAGTCATTTTGGCTTGGTGATTGCTACTTTATTTTCTTGTCCCTCCAAAAAAAAAAACAAACAGGAGAGTATGGCTTTCCATGTGTTGGGTACTAACACATACGTTGTATGAGACACAAGCCAGTGCTCTTCCGAAAACTGTGAAGCCACTGACTCTAGTGACACACCACCCGGCTCTGAACTTTTCTGTGAACCAGTGGAGGGCCACCTCTTTGAAGTCAGAGTGTGAGCTGTATAAACTACTGCCTAACTCCCTCTTCACAGGATGGTCTCTTGAGGGGCATTCTTCATGCTGTGGGGGAGAGGTCGAGGGTGGGGGAGAGGAGGCCTCCACTTTGTCAGCAGCCCTGGGTTTGCTGGGAGAGAAGCTGACGTTTTATCACATAGACATGTCACAACTTCCCACTGCAGAATCCTCCCTGCTTCTCGTCAGCAGGCGGTAGTCACCACACTCCTCCCACGGGTTGAGAGCGTGATCCCAAAATGCTACTGTTGGCACCACGCACACAGCCTGGCAGCCCTCGCGACAGCCTTGGAGATCCCAAGAAGCAGACTGAAGAGTGTGTGGGAAGAAAACACATCTTGGGGTTGTGCATAAATACGTATTCCCAGTCCACACAAAGGAACCCACTAATTTAGAATTCTAGAGCCTGGACGATCACCCAGGGTGATTCTGACGGGACCCAGACTACACTCTATGCTTGGGAATATGAAAGAAACGAGACCCGTGGTAGCTGTCCACTTGCATTCCATCCCCAGACAGCAAGGGTCAGAGGTGCACTCAACAACAACCATGAAGTGACATGTCAGCACATGCCAAGTGACATGTACTGGGAAGAAATGCCAAGAGGCCAGCAAGGAGAGACCCGCTAAGCCTGGCAGGGAGCTTTCAATGAGTGAGAGAGAACAGATAATGGTGAGGGGATGTCACTTCATAGATGTGGCAATATGAAATCGTCATTTCATTCATTTACTGGTGTCTTCCTAGGTTAGCGATCTCTTTGAGATTTGACTAGAGTCATTAACTTCCTCTTCTCTATCGTCCTCTCCTCTGGACCAGCTCAAAGCTGCATAAGCTGCCTGTCTTCCTCTGACCACTGAAGAGCCTTGGAGACCCAGCAAAGACCCCCATATGGGAAAGACTGTGAAATTAGCACATTCAAAATATAAGGCCGGGTGCCGGTGGCTGACACTTGTAACCCTAGCTACTCAGGAGGCTGAGATCTGAGGATCGCGGTTCAAAGTGAGCCCAGACAGGAAAGTTTGTGAGACTCTTACCTCCAATTAACCACCAGAAAACCAGAGTAGTGCTAGCCTTGAACAAAAGAGCTCAGGGGCAGTGCACAGGCCCTGAGTTCAAGCCGGATGACAGACAAAAAATGAACAAATAAAAATAGCTGGGTGCAGAGGCTCACACCTGTAATCCTAGCTACTTAGGAGATTGATAACTAAGGACCATGGTTTGAAGGCAGCCCAGGCAGCCCAGTCTGTGAGACTCTTATCTTCAATTAATCTCCAAAAAGCTGCAAATGGAGGTGTGGCTCAAGTGGTAGAATGTCAACTTGAGCTAAGTGACAGCACTAGGGCCTTGAGTTCAAGATCTAGTATCAGCACTGTACATCTATATCTACATTTACATCTGTAACTATAGTTTAACAGCATACAAAGAAAGTAAGGACTATACAAATCTTCTTCTCAAGTCACTCTGAACCCAAGCCTTGTTTTCAGCCTCAACCAAACATCTCATGGAGAGAAAGGGAAAAAAAAAGGAGCCAGGCAAGAACTCTAATGGGATTTCATTCAAAATATTTTCATCTTCCCAAGGCTACCTATTAGAGCTAGCTAGTCACCAAGTCCACTAGCCACAGACAACGAAGACGAACTCCAGTGTTGGCAATATGGTACCTGCTTTCTACTCTCTCACGGTGGTTCTCAAGTCGGGGATCTAAATGCTGGGGTTTCACAGACTCCTTCTGGGAGCGGATGAGGTCAAAACTATTTTCCAAATAATACCATGACATTGCCTGCTTTCTCCAAATTATCTCAACACTCACACTACAGACATGGACGGGAGTAAAGGAGCTTGGGCTCCTTCACAGAACTCAAAGCAGCAGCACCAACCATCCCAGGACTCTGGTCCCTCAGTGCCATTCGTTTGCAGCAGGAAGGCAAGGCAGTGTCTCAGAAGAAAGTCCCTGCTGCAGCACCGAAGTATGTTACCTTTACTATCTCAATTCTTGCTGGCATTTCTCATGCTCAGCAATGAAGTGGGAAGAATGCCGAGAGCATATCTGTGTTCAGAACACCAGCACAATGGCAATCTCCTTAGAGAGGCACTATGTGACCGCTGGCACTGGAAACCAAACTAGTCACTCTTTTTTTTTCTTTTTCTGGGAATGCCTTCTTTTTACTTGAAAGAAAAGCTTTAAACAAACTGTTGTTCTTCTGACTTGAACATTTGGCAGACAAGCCATTGAAAGAAGGAAGGGAGTCTGTCACTTCCAGGAAAACGTTCTTTGTTGCCAATGATAAAAATCGAAGCTTTCCAGCAAAAATTAAAATTCTGGAAGACATCTATCTGCCACCCTGAACGTCTGACAGCTTCTAAGTACTTAACCCTTTCTGGATGAGACTGGTGGTGTTATCAGCCACTGTGATTTTTTAAATACGGTTTGTTGAACTCAGTCAACTTTGGGAAGATCTGTATTACTGAGTGATGCAATTATGATATTTTAAAAGTGAGTCACAGCTAAAAGGGCCATTCAAAATACTAGAAAAGCCAAGGACTAGGGCATGGCTCAAATGGTAGAGCACTTGCCTAACATGCATGAGGCCCTGAGTTCAATCCCCAGTAAGCTAAAGTGGGAGTTAAAACAATAGATTTTAGTATAATAGAGTAGAAAGATCCCTGAATGACTCCAGATTGCACATTATAACTAACCTTTAAGAGAATATCACTTAGTGAGTTTCAAGGTTCAATCAAAAAAGAATAGACATATTTAATCAGAAAGGCTATTGAAATACTATTCCCTTTCCAATTATACATTTTGGATTCCCTTTCTGATTACACAAGTTGGCTTTTTGCCCCATCCTTCAAACAAAACAATATGGCATTACAGACCACACTCACCAGCATCTCTGAGAATACAACTGTATTGTATAAATACAGACATTAAATAGACTTGCAAAAATGTAAAGCAATACCATCATTCTCACCAATACAGTTTTGCTAGTAAATGTCTCTCAAAAAAATCTCTACGTTAACAATAATGGTTTTCATGAACTTTACAACTTTAGTGGGGGGGAGCGTTGGGTGGGGAAAGGAGGGTTGGGTGGGGGTGTGGGGGGTGGATGGGATGGGAAGGGGAAACAAAGGAGGAGGCTACAATGCTTGATAAGAAATGTACTCATTATCTTGCCCATGTAATTGTAACCCCTCTGTACAGTATTTTCACAATAATTAATAAATAATTAAATAAAAATAAAAAATGGTTTTCATAGCCAAGATATGGAATGAACTCTGACACCTCTCAATGAACAAATGGATAAAGAAAATGTGATACACACACACACACACACACACACACACACACACAAGACAGCATATGTTTTCATCAGAAAGAAGATATTGTACTATTTGTAAGGAAATGGAAAGACTTGAAAAAAAATTACATTAAGTGAAGTAAGGCAGACCCAAAGAAACATAGGTTGCATTATTTCTCTCCTTTGTTGTAACTAGACTGTGCCTACAGATCTACAAGTAAACACACTGGATGGTAAAAGATTAAAAAAATTCCACTTGGACCTGCTAAATTTTACAGAACTCTAAACATTCACGCAGTGAGACAAAGAAAGATATCCTTAGGAGAGGATCACAAAGACTCCAGAGGTATGTGCATATGATCATATAAAATGATGTTTATCAAAATGAACTCTACGAACTAGAAAGAAGAGGAGTTTTTTGTTATTTTGCTTTTTGCCTGTTTTCTCCTTTGTCACTACTTTTGATTTCTATACCTTTTGTCTTGTGTGTAAGTTCATCTATTTGGGGGAGGGAAGCACGGAGCACAGAAATGGTGGGACAAAGGGTGAACAAATGCAGCAGTGATACTCATTAGACACTATGTTGAAACTGAACTATACAACTTCTTGGGGGGGGGTTAGGAGGGAAAAACAGAGAGAAAATGAAGGAAGAGGTGACACTGTTCAGAAAGAAATGTACTCATTACCTGACTTATGTAACTGTAACCCTTCTGTATATCACCTTTACAATAATAAAAATATTTTTAAATAATGGTTATCATTTAAAATGAATGCTTAAAATATTTTTCATTGTTAAGATTACTAGTAGTTACGACTCATGAAAAAAGGCTCTTCGGAGTGTTCAATCTTTAAGTATGAAGGGGACCTGAGACCAAAAGATGGCTGATCTATCTAAAGAATCACATTAGATCTATGAAGAAATTACTGATTCCTATTTTTGAAGGAAGATAACATAGGCCCTAGAGTTGAAATAACTAAGCTAACATAGTCAGCAAATAGGTAGCAGAATCTGAACTCGCATTTTGTCACCATGCAAAAATAATACCCTTCCTCAAGGTCAGCTATCCAGGCGAACAGACTATATGAAGCAAAGGTAATCTATGTGTCTGGATAAATTGAAAAGAATGATGAAACAAGGGAGAAGCATTCTTTTCTCTGGTGTGAATAAGCTCCCAGCTCTAGAGGTATCCTGGTAATGTCACTTTGCGTCAAAGATACAGAGGAGGCTAGGTATTAGTGACTCATGCTTATAATCCTAGCTACTGAGGAGGCTGAGATCTGAGGATCATAGTTTGTATCCAGTCTGAGCAGAAAACTCCATGAGACTCTCACCTCCAATTAACCAACAAAAAGCTAGATGTAGAAGTATGGCTCAAGTGGTAGAATACCAGCTTTGAGCAAACAAGCCAAGCAAGAGCATGAAGCCCTGAGTTCAAGCTCCAGTATCAGAGCACAGATGCATGTGGGCACCCCCACACACACATACACACGAGTTAATCAATGGGGTAGGATACAGAATCATTTCAAAATGACCATCTCCTACAAAGAGGTTGTCTCAACCAACTGTAATACAGGAATCCATTTCGGTTGAAGCAGACTGCAGAAAAACAAAAAAATCTGCTATCTTCTGGGCAAAAGAAGGTCCTTCTAATTCATTATGAGAAGCTAACCTGTTCCTCATACAGAGGAACTGAGCAGATCCAGGATCCTAGTGCTAGAATGAAGAACTGGCAAAGCTATGCTTGGTTCTGGGGCAGATTTTGCTATAATCATGCTCACCGAGTCACCTTTCTGCTTGTAGAGGAATTTCCTAACTCACAGCTTCCTGGGCCTGCCTGTCTTTTCAGAGTGGAGAAGCAGAAAAGCTAAGTGTTTTGATAGCCACAGTTACTGATAACAAATAACATTAGACTCTACTTGGATCTATTTTGGTCTAGATGAGGTAGAGTGGAGTGGGACAGTGAGCCATATCTGAATTATCTGGACAGGTGCTCAGTTCTTTCCATAGCTGGGGAGAGACGTAAACTCTTCAGAATTCTCATGGCTGAGACTCAACCCACAATCTGCTGAGCAGGTAGTTGCACTGTGTGGGTGTGCGTGCTTGGGAGGGAGGAAGGGAGGGAGAGAGGAGAAACTTCAGAGGGGTGATGTTCACCTTAGCACCAGATAAGTCATTCAGAATAAACACCGTGCTAAAGAAGACAAACAGTGAAACTTTCATTTGCTGTGGAACTTGACCAGAATTGTCCAGGAAGTGGAAAGACTGTGCCAAAGGAAAGAAAACACAGTTCCCCTAAAACAAGCTGAACTTAAAAGGGATGGAACTCAAGGCAAGCTAAAGAGTGAATCAATCCTAAGTGCTCACGGAGTCCTCAACTTTGGCTACCTGGGGTGCAGCCCACCAATTTCCTGGTGATAGGTCTATGCCAGCCTAGGTGCTGGCAATTCTAAGTTCTTCAGAGCACTTCCAGAATGCAGAGCCATCGACCTCTGGTAATGCACCAGGATTAAGAGGCTAATGCATGCAGAATCTCCTGGATTGTGTTAAAGCATTCAACAACACAGACTGGTTTTGGTGTAACTCTTCTGAAGAATGAATGGTCCACTGGATGTGTCAGGTTGTATAGCTAATCTCGGGAGATGCTACAATAAAGTACCCAGACTAGTATTCTAGAAGCTATGTTCAAGTTTTAAGAAAGAAACTCTCAGCTTTCATCCCCCTCTTCCCGATGACCACTTCCTGATTTAGGATGAACAAGATGGGTTATTCTTTCTCACCTCTAATCTCAAATCCTCGTGGGTTTTTGTGCTCGATGTACAATGTGATGATGGACAAGTTACTCATTGTTTCTGAACCTCAGTTCTTCCATTGCAAAATAAAAACAGTTCATACCTCCTAAGTCTGCTGTGAAAGTTAAATAAGAAACACAAAGTCTTGAATCTGCTGCTTAGAACACCACAAATCTCTAATAATCATTGTGTACTACTACTGTCTTTTTAATAAGTCTTTGTGCTCTTTTTAAAAAAAATTAAAAAGTGATAAGAACTACTGAGATACTTTCAGTACAATGTCACTCAGACTCAGGGCTGGAGGATTTGTTTCTGAAGCCTTCGTTTTATGGGCAAATCTCTACCCTGCTGTGAATAGAGGGGCTCTTTGAACTTAAGAAATGGATCTATCCACAAAGAGGAAAAAGAAATTTTATCCAAAAAAAAAAAAGCAAGTACTTGATTATTAGTGACTGGAGCAGGACTTAGATGACACACACCTGTCATTTTCTCCTGGAGGAGAAACACACAGTGATTAACTTCTTCGCTTTTTAAAAATCGGAAGGCATGAAGATCAACAAGTTAGCAGGGTAATTAACAAGTCCTGCTACTTAATGCATTGCCGCAGGTGCTGTTGGTCTAGATAAAAAGGGTTTGATTCTATAAGCTTCCTACTTTCTGCTACTGAAATGAACGCTTAGTGGGTTTC